AACGTTAATGAAAGCCGGTAAAGAACTAGGACTCGAAATAAACGTGAATAAAACAAAATATATGGTTAACTGCAAAAATGGAGATACTACTGGTGATATCGATATAGATGGTAATATGTTTGAACAGGTTGATAAATTTAGGTATCTAGGTTCTACGATAACTAGAAAAAACGAAATTGAAGAAGAGATTAAGGTTAGACTGAAGGCGGGAAATGCTTGTTATTTTTCTGTGACAAAACTACTTAGTTCGCGCCTCTTGTCCCGAAACTTAAAAATTAGAATCTATAAAACAATTATCTTGCCTACAGTTCTTTATGGATGCGAAACTTGGCCGCTTACATTAAGGTATGAGCAGCGTCTTAAGGTTTTTGAAAATAAAGTATTGCGTAGAATATTCGGACCGAAGAAGGATGAGTTAACCGGAGAGTTCAGACGGTTACACAACGCCGAATTGCGTGAGCTGTATCCGGGTAATATAATTGAGGTAATTTCATCGCGGCGAATCAAATGGGCTTGTAAAGTTGTTGGGCTTAGTAACGAGAGAATTCCTAAAAGGTTAATATTTACTGTGCCGAATGGTAAGCGTCCGAGGGGAAGACCGAAGCGAAGGTGGGAAGTTTGCATTAAAGCCGATCTGAAGGGACTGGGTTTGGAGGCGAACGGTGGAGGGAGGTGTGTAACAAGCGATTGGTGGTGTCGGCATCGAACCTTCGGGTTCGCTAAGCCTTTTATTGTATTGTATTGTATTATGATATTTACAACTGTATTAGTATGAATAATAATAATAATAATAAGGCTTAGCGAACCCGAAGGTTCGATGCCGACACCACCAATCGCTTGTTACACACCTCCCTCCACCGTTCGCCTCCAAACCCAGTCCCTTCAGATCGGCTTTAATGCAATCTTCCCACCTTCGCTTCGGTCTTCCCCTCGGACGCTTACCATTCGGCACAGCAAATATTAACCTTTTAGGAATTCTCTCGTTACTAAGCCCAACAACTTTACAAGCCCATTTGATTCGCCGCGATGAAATTACCTCAATTATATTACCCGGATACATCTCACGCGATTCGGCGTTGTGTAACCGTCTGAACTCTCCAGTTAACTCATCCTTCTTCGGTCCGAATATTCTACGCAATACTTTATTTTCAAAAACCTTAAGACGCTGCTCATCCCTTAATGTAAGCGGCCAAGTTTCGCATCCATAAAGAACTGTAGGCAAGATAATTGTTTTATAGATTCTAATTTTTAAGTTTCGGGACAAGAGGCGCGAACTAAGTAGTTTTGTCACAGAAAAATAACAAGCATTCCCCGCCTTCAGTCTAACCTTAATCTCTTCTTCAATTTCGTTTTTTCTAGTTATCGTAGAACCTAGATACCTAAATTTATCTACCTGTTCAAACATATTACCATCTATATCGATATCACCAGTAGTATCGCCATTTTTGCAGCTAACCATATATTTTGTTTTATCCACGTTTATTTCGAGTCCTAGTTCTTTACCGGCTTTCATTAACGTTGTCGTATTTAGTTTTATAGTTTCAACGTCTTCGCTTAACAGTACCAGATCATCAGCATAGCCCAGCACGGATGTTGTCCCGCCCAGATCCAACCCTTTCTCGGTTCGCATTACTTCCCTAATGGCATGTTCTAATGCCAAATTGAACAGGACAGGCGAAAGAGAATCCCCCTGTTTTAAGCCCGAACGAACCTCAAATTTTTCGGACAAATTATTACCGATTCTAACTTTATTGAGTGTCTCCGTCAAGCACATCCTGACTAGATTTACTAGTTTTTTTGGAATCCCCTGCTCGATTAGAATATTATACAGTTTCTGGCGGTCAATAGAATCGTAAGCCTTTTAAAATCTATATACAGCTGGTGAACAATACCGTTATACTCCAATTTTTTCTCTAATATTTGCCGTAAAGAAAATATTTGATCAATAGTCGAACGATTCCGTCTAAATCCGCATTGGTAGTCTCCGATAATTTCCTCGGCGTATTCCGTGATTCGACTGGTTAAGATTAAAGTGAATATTTTATAACATACCGGAAGCAGTGAAATTCCTCGATAGTTATTACAATCCGTCCTCGGACCCTTTTTGTGAATCGGAATAAGAATAGATTCTTTCCATTCTTCAGGTAATTTCTCGTTCACCCAGATCTTTTTAACCAACCGATGTATTTTAGAAACTCCAGCTTCTCCGCATGCCTTAATTAGTTCAGTAGGAATATTATCGATTCCCGCTGCTTTATATGATTTTAATTTTCCGATAGCTACTTCAACTTCCTCTTTACTTGGTCCTTCTATTAATGGTTCAGCACTCTGGTACTCAGAAGGAGGACACAGATCATAATTTACCGTATTTAAAATATTGTCAAAGTGGTCCTTAAACTTATTCAATATGTCAACCGGATCGGTCAGAATATTGTTATTATCATCCCTAATTCCAGACGTTACGGGCCCTACATATTTACGTGATCTGTTTATACCTTTGTACATTTCTCTTACGTTATTTTCAATTCTATTAGTTTCTATTTCAATTATTTTATTTTTAAGATACTCCCTTTTTTTATTTTTGAGCAATTTTGTCGTTTCGTTCTTTGAGATTCGGAAGTATTCCAGATTGTCTTCGCTAGGATTATTTAGAGCTTTTAATTTAGCGGCTTTTCTTTTTTCACACATGTTTAAGCAATCTTCATCAAACCACGGTTTGTTATTCTTATTTTCCTTTTTTCCTAGACACGAGTTACCGACCGCTTTAATATTATCTCTGATCTCTATCCATAACTTGTCAATATCCTCGTGGTCCTCGTCAGGAAGCTCTAAAGCTTCAAACCTATTCTTAACATCTAGCTCGAATTGGTTTCTAATTGATGGATTTTTTAATTTTTCCAAATTAAAATTCTCAAAATCGAAACGGTTTTCTTTTCTCTTTTTTATATTAAGTTTTTGTCGAAGTTTCGCGATTACTAATTCATGATCCGACCCACATTCTGCTCCGCGATAAGACCGTACATTAATTATACTGCTTTGCCAGCTGTGTTGTATCAAGACATGATCGATTTGATTTCGTGTTTGCGAATCCGGTGATGTCCAAGTATATTTATGAATATCCTTATGTTTAAACGTCGTACTTTTAATTATCAGGTTTTTCGAGATGGCAAAGTTTATCAGACGGATCCCATTATCATTACTATATTCGTGCAAACTTTCTTTACCAATCGTCGGAATATAAACTTCTTCCCTTCCTACCTTTGCGTTCGCGTCACCTACAATTATTTTCATGTAGTTTCGTGGTAGTTTATCATAAACCCATTCGAGTTTATCGTAAAATTCACTTTTGACTTCATCGTCACTGTCTTCGGTCGGACAATGTATGTTTATTAATGCGATTTTAAACCAACGTCCCTGAAATGTAGCTACCGAAATTCTATCACTAAAGAATTGTACGTCCCTCAAAGCGGATAGTAATCTACGCCTAATTAGAAACCCGGTACCTAAACAATGATTCCCGCTTCCTCCGTACCAAATAGTGTACTTCCCTTCCCTCATCGAGCCCTCCCCTGGCCAGCGAACCTCTTGCAGAGCCACGACATCCAAATTATACCCATTTACCTCATTCGCGACCGATTTTAGCCCCCCTGCTGTGTTTAAACTCCTTACGTTCCACGTACCAATATTTAAATCCCTATATTTCAACTTGCGCCATGAATCCCCTAAAGCAGTCCCCACCCGGAGACTCGAACGGGGGACTAGTTTACTTCCGGATAATGAGCGTTTTACCTTAGGGAGATCCATGACTTTTTGTGGTGTTTGGTGAACTAAAGATATGTGAGTAGGGCGTTCAATCCTACGTCCAGCAAGTCTGGTGGGCCCCTACCTCCAGCAAGTCTGGAGGGCCCCTCTCATTATTGGTCAGCGAGTCCATCGGACTTAGCCGGGAGTAACTTCCAAGGAATTTCCACCGACCATCCCCACATCCGCCACCCGTGGGACGCTCCCCATACGCGGTAATGAGCCCGCGCGAGGTATTAGTATGAATACATCATGATGTATTAGTATGAATACATCAAGTAAATGTGTGCAGAGGAATATAATCACACGAAACACGCTTGTTGAGAAACTACCCATTGGTAGCACTCTAATTTGCTGACTTAGAATTGAGTTTCTGTTTATCCAATGACAGTTAATTTTCACCCAGTTTTTGTTTATTGTTTTAATAATTATATAAATTTGTTTGTGAAATTTGCCAATGAGAGAATTAGATGAAATGAAATTGAAATCGCTATATGCCGAAGTTTATTGAAATATATTTTAAAAGAAGTTAAATAGAAAAGAACAAATATTGTTCTTTGATTTTATTATTTATTTTCGCGTGATATAAGTGATTCATATGCTTCATTCAACTTGCCCAATTTCAATACTATCTCCCAAACCATTCTAGTTAATAGTTTCTTACAATAATTACTTTTTAAGTTGAAATAACAAAGAGACTATTCAAATATTAGTTTCCCGCCGATCCAATACTGCCGCCACATCCGTATGACCGCACTGTATAATTAAGCCACTATATATTGGCTCAAATCAAAGTACAGTACCCTGCTTTGTGATTTAATTATCGCTGATATTGTGTTTTAGATAACGGATCAGTGGCTACAAGTTCTTCACTCCCAGACTTTCTTCATGGTCTACATGTGAGCACCAAAGGAAGATTGATCAACAAGGCAGCTCCCTGGTTAGTTTTTAACATTATTAATAATATTATAAGAGGGATAATGGCATACCTTGAAGAATTAGACTCTGCTCCTTCCATAACAACAACCGTGTTGCTGTCCACTAGATCGAAAGGAAATGTCTATTTACTTTAGGATACCGGGTGTCCACGTCTTAGTGCTTTGCCCCTTCTGAGCAGCGGACAGCATTACACACAGTGCCCTGTGCCCGGGTGTGGTAAGGAGTACGCGACCCAAGCTTGGACAGCGGGCGTGCAATCTATGATGAGGCACGTCTCCGCAGGGCACCGCCTCGTCGGCATCAAACCCCGCCATTACTGTCGTATATGCCAAAATTATATAGAAGAACGACCCAAGATCACCACACACCCGTGCTTGGAACACGCGGTGGCTCCGGTGGTGGAAATGGCGGGGGCCGTGTTCGAGTGCGTACAGTGCGGAGACAAATTTCCTACGTCCCGGGGGCTGCATAACCATGCCACGACGGCGCATGCACCGAGGCCCACAGAGCAGGAGGCAGCCGCCGAGCCGGAACCCGGTAGAAGGGTCACCCGCCGAGCCGCCCGAGAACTAAATATGAATGATTTCCCCCCTGCTAGGCCGCCGAGCCCTGTCGCAGAAGAGGAAGGTGCTGATCGGGGCGCTGCGGTCGGGGGAAGCTGCAGTCGATAATCACATCGAAGAACCTACCGCAGTTGCTATATGGGATACAACGATAAAAGTTCGCACTGTGGCAGAAGATTTCGGAGGACCTTCGTCTACCCATCGCTAAACTTTCACATGAGAAATGGCCAGTACCCGAAGTAGGATTGGACAAAGGTGGACGAAGCAGTCAGGGCAGACTTGAAGAGAGTGCTCGACCTGCCAGCAGAGACCTCCCTGCATGCCAGTTACAGGGAGGTGAAGATAGCCCCTATAGTCGTGGGCGCCCTGGGAACGTGGGACCGCAACAATGATAAGTACCTGAAAGGGTTCAATACCAGGGCATACCTGAGGAAGATGAGGAGGCTGGTGACCTGCGAGGCGATAGCCTGGTCCCGATGTATTTACATGGAACACCTGTCCGGTCGGATTCAGCGTCCCTATAGATAGTACCGGCCCGAAGCGTCGATCGGTTGTGCCGGGAAGCGAGATTGTAATAATGGAGTGCAGTGAGAGAGTGAGGTGTAGAAAGAAAAAAGTGCATTGTATTACATATATATATATTTTATACGTGAAAAAAGAAAATTATATATTGTATTATAATAAGATAATGGATATGTTATAAACTTTTAAATATACACTATGTTGTTGACGCCAACATGTGGTTATTTTTATTTATTTGTGACCATGTCAATATACGGGATTCATTTTATTTTTCTTATAAATACCTAGGTTATTTTTATTTAAATTTATTTTTAATTGTTTGTTTGTCCCAGCGACGATGCCTTCGGCCAGTTGCGGGTCAACCCGCCTCTCCTATCAGATAATTCCATTGAGCAAAACAAAACATTACAAGCTCAGTACGGCTGCTGGGAGCACTGATATAAGTACTACCTCCATGAGGCTCCCCCTCCCTTCACAATCCTTCCTGGCAAACCGATTGGTTTGATCACCCTAGCTTGTGACGGCGACTGCCCGCATCTGGGGCATTATTCTCCTGCACCAGGACTCCCGTCAGTTGCAACACTGACCTTAAAACAGAGCAATATGGCCGGCCGGCTGGAGTTTACATTTCATTTTAATTTATGAACAGTTTTAAGGTAAGTGGCGCCCCCTTAAAAACATTACTGACCTCTCGGGTCTCAGATGTTATCACTAAATGAAATAAAAACATCTCTTAATATAAACCTCACATTGAGGCTAAATTGTAACTTCTACATCAAATCATGCTACCTAATTTATGTGTCTGTAGACTAGTTGCTAGCATCGTAATATTAAAAATGAATTTCTGGTTCAAGACCTGTCTCATTATATATACTTTTTTATTGTGTAAAAGTATCATTTTAAATTTATATAAATTTTTTGTACAGCATTTAAATTATTCAATTAATTAAAAATTTAAATTAAATTCTCATTCATTTAATTAAATCACATTCATAAATATTGTAAGTTTAATTTATTAGTTTTAGATTCTTTTATTTATTTGTTTAATGCTTTAAGACAATTTTTTTTGTCTCTTTTTATTTTATAGTTTTTGTATTAGGAGAAATATTATTAATTTATTTTGTTGCATGCTCTATTTCGTTTATTATGTTTTTGTTTTTTTAATATATACAAATTAATGCTATTCGGCATTTTATTAATTTTCAGCGGATCTTAACATTTTAAATAAATTAATTAATAAGACAACAAACAGTGGCTATGGATTAGGTCGAGCAGAATTGGCGGTTCACTTTTCAACGCCCGCTGCCTCCACATGTTGGTCCCGTCCGATCCGGATTTTGAGTTATTAATTAATATTTTGTCCAATCTGGCATTAATTAATATTTTTCTCCTCTGTAATAATATTTGTGAATAGCAGTAAATTATTTAATTAATAATATACATTGTATTATTAAATTATATTTAAATTGTTTATGTAACCAGCTTTCCGCACACGGCTTTACTTATTTACATTTTTATCTAATTCCTTTAGCTTAGCCAGCATTATTTATTTTTCTTATTTTGCTGTCTTTGTTTTTCCATCTCCATCATCATGGAACTTAATTTAACAAAACAGATTAATCTTCTTAAGATTAAATTAAAACTATTAATCAAGAGAAATTAATAGAATTGTTGACTTAGGTCATTTTTTAATGTCTAATCCTAGCCAGTTTGAATTATTCAAGGCTTCATTCAATAGTCTTAATGAACGTTTCGCTTCCTTTTCCAACAATATGGGATGGAATTGTGAATTTAGTTTTTATGAATAATTGTTCTTATTTATTTCCTACTGAAGCCGATGAGGAATTTAATAAAATATTAATACTTACATATTATGTGGGTTTAGCTGTTCATGAACCTCACTCCTCTGAGTCCTCTCTCCTTTAGAGGTTCAAAATCCGATAGGCGAAAAATATGAGAAATGTTTTTATTTTTTTAACTTGTATATATGGGGTTAGACATGTAAAAAACAAAATTGCTAAAGCGGGCCACCAAGGGAAAACTATTTACAGCCAAAAAAGTCAGATGTTTTCGATGTTTTTTGGGGTTTTCACCTATAACTCCTAAAAAATGCATCAAAGCAAAAAATGTATTCTTTAATAAATCAAAGAACGTTAAATATTGCTTCAAACGAGTACAATAACTTTAAAATTTGGTAACAGGGTAAGGTATAAAACCACGGTCAACCAACTTGAGTTTTACCAAATTTGTCAAAAACTGAGACAAATTTCTATAAATGGCTCTGTAACTTGGAAACGAGTTCCTCGAGAGGAAAAACCCATAGAATTAAAGTTGTAGAGCATTAAATTTTGAGTATACTGAGTACTGACATTTTTATTGTTGGCTAATTATATATCTCGAATCGGGATTCGTTATTCCTTTATAAAATTCGGTATCTTTCGGCACACCGTTTACCAAAATCTTTTGCTGTTGAGAGGTGGAAAAGAGGCTTATACTGCATGTAACAGACTTTAAACAAAACTAACTCAGTAGAATAGACACCCATACTGTTGAAATATTGAAAATCACGTTTACCTTCATTACCAATTTCTAACCATCGGGAGATTACCGATTTTGTTCGCAGCAAGCGACCTACATTAAATTAGTTTATACTGAGTATACGCGAAATGTGATGCTCTACAACTTTGATTCTATAGGTTTTTCCTCTCAGGGAACTGATTTCCATGTTACAGGGCTATTTATAGTAATTTGTCTTACTGTTTGGCAAATTTGTTAAAACTAAGCGTTGGTTGACCGTGGTTTTGTATTTTTCGTAATAGAACAAATTAAAAATAATGGGAACTTGTGAATAAAGTAGCGATTGAGTGCACTTTCAAGAAAAACAAACACAAACTTATATTTTTCAAATCTTACAAAACAGAGTTTCTTAAGAGCACATTTCTTTCTGACTCACAACAACAACCACTTAAGGTAACCCCCTCTTTTCTTCCGTTAGAACAGCCATTTTGAAATATCTTTTAGAACAGCTGTTTTGACTATAATTAAACTAATACATTTCACTTTGTATTTAAATGTAAAAAAAAAAAAAATCAAACATTCGCAAACAAATTCAACATTAACTTATTAGTTTAACAAATTCCCGAACATCCTCCCACCTTGAGGAGTTTATAACTACTCAACAAACAGTGCTAGAAATAATTACAAACAAATTATCAAAACATAAGCAGCACGTAAAATTACAATTTTCTCTAACTGATGTGGACTACAAAAGGATTCAAAGAAACCGTATAGGTATTCGCACATTTCTGCCACATCGCGTTTGTAATAAGCGATCACCCTTTTCCTTCAGTTGTTTGTTCTGTTGGAAGTCTGGAATCCGTTCTTCTGTAGAATCTTCGTATTCAGAAGTTGTCTCAGTTGCACTGCTGAGAATCTCCAAAGGATAGATACGCTGAATGGGTCTGTTGATTCTCCCATTAGCCGTGCGAACAGTAACTAACCTGCATTTTCCATCTTGACCAGGAATCATTCGTTCTATCACCCCTAAAGACCAATCGATTCTTCTTATGTTATCATATCCAATAAGAACTACCTCTCCAAGAGTGGGTTCACGGGTCTTTTTATTCTTCTTGGAAGATTGAAGGAGGCTTCCTAAATATTCAGCTCTAAATCGTTTGCGTAATTCTTCTTTTGGTTTATTGCGATATTTCCATCTTCGACCAAGTTTAGACTTTTCAATTTGGTCTATATCTGGAACTCCACTTTCTTCAATTTCTTGAAGAAACATCTTCAGGGAGATAGGGATAGGATCCGTTGGAACATCAGAAACATATGTGATAGGTCTTGAATTAACCACACTTTCGCATTCACAGATTACTGTATACAGTTCTTCAGCGGTTAAACATGCTCTTCCTAATATCTTCCTTAATAAGATCTTAACCAGGCCAACTAAGCGTTCCCAAAAACCCCCCCACCAAGCTGCACCTGGTGGGTTGAAACGCCATTCTATTTTTCTAACAGAACTCCAAGCAGTGATCTGTTTCCAATCAACCATTTTTAGTAGAGAATCCATTCCTCGAAAATTTGTTCCATTTTCACTATATATGAAGCTTGGTCTCTAACGGCGTGCAATAAATCTTCTGAGACTTATCATAAGTTGTTCAGTCGATAAAGAAGAAACAAGTTCCAGATGTATCGCCCGATAGACCGCACAAGAAAATATACTAATCCACGCTTTTTCACCATTCCTTAAATATAGGGAACCTACAAAGTCTGTACGAGTAATTTCGAAAACTTTTGCATCTCGTACTCTATTTTCTGGTAAAGGTGGCGATTCTTCTTCGAATTTTCGGGAATCGAAACGTTGACAAACAGTACATTTCTTCAGGGCTCTTCTGATAGCTTGTCTACCTCGTAGTATCCAGTATTTTTCTCTTAAATGGTTCAATAGCCCTAATCCTTTGAGATGACAGTAACGTATATGGTCCTCTAAAATCAGCTTTTCAACATGGTGATGATCACCGGGAAGAATAATCGGAGCTCTGAAGTCTTCTGTATCTTGTCTTGCCCATAGTTTGGTTATAAGTCTCTTTATACCTGATGAATCAACAAATGTTTTTAGTCTCGATAGTCGTTTATTTTCTTCTCCTGAAAATGATTCTAGTTGTACCAATCGTAGCAACCTGATCTCGGCAGTTTCCATCTCGGTAACGGTTAGAAGATCTTTCACTTCACCTCTTTTATTGCACCTATCAGCAAATCGAAAAATCCACCCAACAACCTTCAAAATCTGTGAATATGTATTATATTTTCTGCATATTTCTTTAGTCCATAAAGGGGTACACGGAGCACA